CATCTAACTGTGAGCCGCAGGAACTAAGTTTACCACCTAATACATTAACGCTTTTTTTTTAAGAATTAACTAAAGCAATGATTGTCACGATCTATATGAACGACTTGATTATACCCTCGATAAACCTACAAGACGGACTATCGCGACTTAAGTTGGTATTGGAAACGGCGAGTAAATACGGATTGTTAATTAACTGGAAGAAATGTCAATTGTTAAAATTAAAAGTGTTATTAAAGTGCATTGTTATTTAGGACATGTAGTAGAAAATGGAAATATCACGCTGTCAGATAAAAAGACTTATGCTGTAAAGCATTTTCCGAAGCCGATGAACGTACGTTCTGTACAAAGTTTTTTGGACCTAACAGAGTATTTTCAAAAATTTATACCTCAATATTCGCTTATACCACGACCGTTAGCGGAGTTATTACAAAACGAAGTAGATTTTAAATTCGGGAAAGAACAGGAACAGGCGTTCGAGCAACTGAAGATAGCTTTGAGCCGAAAGCCTGTCTTGTGTTTATATTGTCCGACAGCAGAAACAGAATTGCACACTGATGTGTCGGCTTCAAGATTTGGTGCAGTATTGCTATAACACAATAACAAAGAATGTATGTTTCATCTAATATATTACTCAAGTAGTAAGACTGCGCCTACTAAAGCGAAATATGATAGTTATAGACTCGAAGTAGTAGCTGTCGTAAAGGCATTATAGAAATTTAGTATATTTAATCGGAATTCTGTTTACTATAATAACAGATTGTAAAGCATTCACTCAGATTATGAAAAAAAAGGACATCTGTGCACAAGTAGCACGGTGGGCGTTTCTCCTAAAAGAATTTCGATACTCAATTGTACATCGCTCTGGAAGCAGTATGTGGCATGTAGACGCTTTAGACGCAAGTCGGCACTTATTACCTACAGCCATGTTAATAGAAGAATGCAAGGATAGTATACGAGCGAGACTTGGCCAGAATCAATTAGCAGATGAAGAAATACGACGCATTAAGAAGTACGTGGGTACGTGATTGTTAATGGGTTGGTGTGTAAGGAAGTTGACGGCGAGACTCCGACTATCGTACCGATTTTGATGCAAACCTCTATAATTCGACAAGTCCATGAACGTGGTCATTTTGCATTTGCAAAAACAGAACAGCTCCTAAAGACTAATTATTGGTTTTAGAATATACATTCGAAAGTCGAGAGCATAATTCGAAATTGTCTTCCATGTATCATGACAATGAAGATAGCTGGTAAACAAGAAAGATTTCTACATCCGATTGAAAAGAAAGCACCGCTAGATACCTATCATGTAGATCATCTTGGGCCAATGCCATTCATCCAGAAGAAATATCAATATATATATTTGCAGTAGTGGGCGCTTTCACCAAGTTCACATGGCTCTATCCGACGAAGAGTACTGGCACGGCAGAAGTTCTCAGCCAATTGATGAAACAATCAGCTGTTTTTGGAAACCCTAGACGACTAATTTCTGATCAAGGCTCAGCATTCACGTTCCATGACTTTAAGTCATACTGTACAGATAAAGGCATCGAACACGTTTTGATTACCACGGGGACACCAAGAGGTAACGGACAAATTGAACGAATAAATCGAACGTTGATTCCGCTATTAACCAAGCTATCATCACCACAACCAATGCAATGGCACAAGTTCGTTGCACGTGCACACCAGTATTTAAATCATGTGCCTACCTGGAGCACCGGAATGACGCATTTAGCCTTTTATTCGGAACGAAAATGAGACTGCAAGAAGATCCTCGCATGAAAGAAATTTTAGAGACAGAGCAAGCTATCATTTTTCAAGAAAAGCGTAACCAGTTACGAGAAGTTCGAAACGCAATTTTGAAGATACAAACCGAGAACAGACGAAGCTACAAGAAGAAACGGAAGTCACCAACTAAATATAACAAAGACGATATAGTTGCTATTCATGAACCCAAGGTGGACCAGGACTCAAACTCTGTACGAAATATCTAGGACCTTATCGTATTAAACGCGTCCTACGCAACGACCGGTATATTGTCGAAAAAATAGGTGAAGGAGAAGGCCCACGCGCAACATCGATAGCTGTAGATCACATGAAATATTGGACGAACCCGCAGGAAGATCCTCCAGATAGCATAGAACGAGATAACGACATCTGAGGTCAGATGTCAGTCAGGATGGCCGAATGTAGAATTAAGTTTTAGTTTTTTTTATATCCTTCGTACCTATCTGAATAGTTAAGACGTGTGAATATTGTAACGTTAAAAAAATAACAGTAGCAATATATCGATAAGTTTCTGCGGAAGTCGAGAAAAAAAACAAGTGCGCACAAACAACGTGAAGAACGTGAACGGCGTGACAACGAGAAATCAACAGATTGAAACGAGACTAAGCTCCGAAGTGTGTACAAACCATTAAACGCTTTTCTTTGATTTTTTCTCGATTCTAAGATTTGAGTCAGTTTTCTTTTGAAACCTCTCCTATCCCACTTAAAATATCCACTACATTAATAGGACCTGAGATGGAGCCATACGCTTTCGCGTACCTGAATAACATTGTCATCGTAGCCGCGATCTTCGAAGAACATCTCCACTGGTTGAATCGAGTCCTATAGAAAGTTGTTGAGGCTGGGTTGATAGTAAACCCGGAAAATTGCGAATTTTGTCGGTCGCAGGTTAGATATTTGTGATTTCTTGTACAATGTGACGGATTAAGAGTAGACCCGGAGAAAGCTCAACCGATATTAGAATATCCCGCTTCGCGGACAATAAGACAGCTTGGAAGATTCTTAGGAATGTCGTCATGGTATCGTCGCTTCATACCATCTCTTCGCGACCATAAGTGAACCAATGACGCGGCTACTTAGGAAGGGACGACGTTGGGAGTGGGCGACGGAGCAGAGGGACGCGTTTGAATAGAATCGTTCCCATCTTGTTACCGCTCCTCGCTTGTCTGGATTTCCAGTAGCCATTCGTCTTACAAACGGACGCTAGTTCGGTAGGATTAGGTGCTGTTCTTACGCAGAAGGTCAAGGAGTTCGAGAATATTATCGCGTTTGCGAGTCGCGCGCTCTCCGACTCCGAAAGGAAATATTCAGTGACCGGGCAGAAAAGCCTTGCAGTAGTGTGGGCCATCAAAAAGTTTAGGCCCTATTTAAAAGACTACAAATTTTCGGTGGTGACTGACCACAGTAGTCTGCGTTGGCTCCACAATTTGCGCAACCCCACTGGTCGATTAGCACATGGAAACAGGCAGGTGAGCATGGTGAAGCAATGGCAAAGGTCGGTTTACACCCGATGAAGGTGATGCTCTGTGTTTGGTGGGATTGCAAGGGCTTAATTTATTTTGAGTTTCTCCCCGCTAGTCAAACGATTGATTCAGACAAGTACTCTCGCCAATTAACCAATCTGAATCGAGAAATCAAACAGAAACGTCCGATTTTGTCAAATCGCAAGGGCGCAGTCTTTCACCACGACAACGCAAGACCACACGTTTCGAGACAGACGCTGCGCAAACTGAACAGCCTGCAATGGGATGTCCTAACTCATCCACCGTATTCTCCTGATATCGCACCTTCTGATTATCACTTGTTCCGGTCATTGCAAAATCATTTAAATGGAAAAAAAATTGACTCTTTGGATGCCTTAAAAAACGTCGTGTCTTCGTTCTTCGAATCTAAACCGCGCAGTTTTTATGATCGGGGCATCCGTATGCTGCCAGAACGTTGGAAAAAGATTATAGACAACGATGGAGAATATATCATTGATTGAATAAAGAACTTTGTTTGCCTAATCACTGTCTGACTTTTACTCACAAACTCCGCACGAACTTTTGCACTTAACCCAATAGTTTATGTGATATTTCCGTTTCGTCATTTTTTTGATATTTTTCTCGTTTATCGTTACAGATTTTGTCATTATTTGCGTTATATTTCGATTCTTGTCTTTGTTTCTGTTATGTTCCTCAATTTTTCTATTGTTTGTGTTATTGTTTACGTCATTTTATCGGTCCTCTTTACAGTCATTTTCAAGGTTTCTGAAGTAATTCGGATTATGTCATTGCTTTTGTTATTTTTCTCTGTTCTCGTTACAGATTTTATCATTGTTTCCGTTATATCTCGATCCTTGTCGTTGTTTCTGTTATCATCTCCCCTTTTTCTACTGTTTTTGTTAGAGTTTTCGTCACTATTTCGGTCCTCGTTACAGTCATTGTCATAGTTTCTGTGATATATTGTGTTTTGTCATGGTTATTGTTATTTTTTGCTGTTCTCGTTACAGTTCTTGTCATTGTTTCCGTTGTATCTCGGTTCCTGTCATTATTTCTGTTACCTTCTTCGCTTTTTCTACTGTTAATGTTAATGTATGTAATGTTTTCGTTATTTTTTTGGTCCTTGTTACAGACATTGTCACGTTTTCTGCGATATTTCCGTTTTTGCCATTGTTATTATTTCTTGGATCTTGTTACATTTTTGTAATTATTTCCGTTATATCTCGGTTCTTCTCATTGTTTCTGTTATCTTCTGCTTTTTTTTACTATTTTCGTTATTGTTTTCATCATTTTTTCGATCTTCATTAAAGTCGTAGTCATGTTTTCTGTGATATTTCTGCTTCTGTCAATGTTTTTGTTATTTTTTCTCGGTTCTCGCTACAGTTTTTGTCATTAATTCCGTTACATATTTGTTCTTGTAATTGTTTCTGTTAGCCTCTTTGCTTATTCTACAGTTTATGTTACTTTCCACGTCATTTTATCAGCCCTCGTTACAGTCATTGTCATGATTTTAAGGATATATCGTATTTTGTTATTGTTTTTGTTATTTTTTCTCGGGTTACGTTAGAGTTATTGTCATTGCTTCCGTTATATCTCGGTTCTTGTCAATGTTTCTTATATAATCTTCGCTATTTCTACTTTTTTTGTTACTGTTTTCTTTGATTTTTCTGTTCCCGTTACAGTCATTTGCAAGTTTTCTGTGATATTTCGGTTTTTGTAATTGTCATTTTTATTTTTTCTCTGTTCTCGTTACAATTCTTGTCATTGTTTCCGTTTTATCTCGTTACTTGTCATTTTTTCTGTTATCTTCTTCGCTTTTTCTACAGATTTTGCTACAGTTTTCGTTGTTCTTTCGGTCCTCGTTACCATCATTGTCGTGGTTTCTGTCATATTTCGGTTTTTGTCATAATTATAGTTATTTTTCCTCTGTTCTCGTTTCAATATCTGTCATTTTTTCCGTTATATTTCGGTTTTTAACATTGTTTCTGTTATTTTCTTCGACTTTTCTCCTGTATTTCTTATTGTTTTCGTTATTTTTTTGGTCCTCGTTACAGTTATTGTCATGTTTCCTGTAATATTTCCGTTTTTGTCATTGTTTTATTTTCTCGGTTCTCGTTATAGTTTTTGTCAATGTTTCCGTTATATCTCAGTTCTTGTCGTTGCTTCTGTTATAATCTTTGACTTTCTATTGTTTTTGTTATTGTTTTCGTTACTTTTTCTGTTCTCATTATAGTCATTGCCATGGATTTTGTGATATTTCTGTGTTTTTCATTGTTTTGATATTTTTTTACCTTTCTCGATATAGTTTTTGTCACTGTTT